CCAGCCTGGGGACGAGCTCAGACCACAGGGCAGAGGTGGTGACACAACGAGGGGGGTTTTGGGGCTCTCCCCAGGGGTCAGTGGGATGCTGGATGGAGGAAGACATGAGTGTTCCTAAAATATGGGGATGTGGCACCTGGGGACAAGGTTTGGAGTGCACGTGGTGGTGCTGGGCTGGTGTTTGGAGTTGGGGGTCTCAGAGGGTTTTCCAGCTGTAACCATTCCATGATTCCCAGCTGATCTCTGCAGCTTCCCCCGTCCTTCCCTTGGCTCCAGCGGGTCAGGGGGCTGCAAATCCCACTTGGGATCAGGATGGAGCAGAGGGGTGTCCATCCAGGAGCCAAGAGCCACAGAGCCCAGGAGGAACCTCCAGGGGTGGTCCCAGAGCCCTTCCCTCAGCCCCAGCCCCAAAGCTGAGCGGGGGCTGAGCGTGAGCTCAGGGCGGGCAGTTTGGGGTTGGTGTGAGCTGGGAGGGTTTCCCTGGGCTGCTGGTTTGGACAGGGACACAAACCCACAGGGACACAAACCCACAGGACACCCCTGTGCCATGGTTTGGGGACTTTCTGCACCCACCATCCCTTCATCCCCCTGAACCTTCATCAGTTCATCAACTGGGGCCGGGCTCGGGCTGTTGGAACGGGATGTCTGGAGGGAGCAGATGGGCCCAGGACAGTCCAGTTGGAAAGGGGAATAAAACTCCAGGGAACTCATCCTGGTGGTCCCTGCTGTAGCAGGAGGCAGGATTAGCCCTGAGGATGGTGGGGGAGGATGTCTTGGAGAACGTGTGTCCGTCTGGGAGGAGGGTTTGGGAATGTGCCAGAGGACTTTGCACCCAAATAACCCCCAGCTCTGGCCTCTGGGTCACCCTCCCCGGGCACCCCCAGCTTTTCCAGCAGCAGCTGTATCCTTGGATTTGGGCCCAGCTCCCAGAATCCCCCAGGGAGCGATTGGGAATTTGGGGGAGGGGAGTGGGGTCTCCATTGAGAGGGTGGAGCTGGTGCAGTGGGGTGGGAGATGCTCAGACCCTTTTCCCATCCCCTTCCAGCCCTCTGGCCGTGGGGTCCGGCTCCCTGAGGTCTTCTGTATCATCAGCTGCCTGGGCTGCTTCGGGCTCTTCTCCAAGGTAGGGACGTGCTGCCTCTGGGGGCTGGTGGCCCATTTGCCCCAGTGGTGCCCCCTTTGTCCCAGTGGTGCCCCCTTTGTCCCAGTGGGACCCCGTTTGTCCCAGTGGTGGCCCCAGCTCCGCTCCGTGTCCCGTGGGTGATTCCCAGCTCCTCCTGCCTCCCACAGATCCTGGACGAGGTGGAGAAGAGGCGCCAGATCTCCATGGCTGTGATCTACCCCTTCATGCAGGGCCTGCGGGAATCGCCCTTCCCGGCTCCCGGAAAATCCGTCACCATCAAGAGCTTCATCCCTGAGTCGGGCACTGAGGTGGGGCGGGATGGGGGCACCTCCTGGGCACAGGGTGTGCCAGGGACCAGCGGGGGGGTTGGAGGCCTCATCCCTTGGGAAAGGGGGTGTCACCTCCCTCCTGACCCAGCGAGGGTGAGGATGAGGATGAGGATGAGGGTGAGGATGAGGATGAGGATGAGGATGGAGCCCACCCAGGTCCCCCCAGAGCTGGAGCTGCCACCCCAGCACCTCCCCAGTCACACAGGGACTGGCACAGCCCCGAGGGAGAGGCCGTGCTGGGGGTCCCTGGGGCACCCAGAGGTGCCAAATCTCCTCCCTGAAAGGGTGGCCAGGCCCTGGCACAGCTGCCCAGGGTGCTGGTGGAGTGCCCATCCCTGAAATTGCTCGTCCAACCTGTGCATGTGGCACCTGGGGACGTGGGCAGTGGTGAATGGGGGGAACTGCTGGACTCGATGCTTTTAGAGGGCTTTTCCAGCCTTAATAATTCCATGATTCCATGACTCTACTCTCCTCCAGAGCTCTGTGCCCAGCTCCCAGCCCTGATTCCTGCCCTGCTTTATCCCCACAGGCAGGGGTAGAGCAGCATTCCCAGTCTTTCCCTGTGCAGAGACCCGATCCAGGCGTGGATTGTCCCACCCACGCCCAGCCCACAACCTTTCATTTGCTCTTCCTTTCCCCTGTGGCAAAGCTGGGCTGGAAAAATGGGAAAGTTCTCAGTGCTGGGCATCCTGGGGCTGTGTCCTGCCAGGGAGGGGCTGAGGGAAGGCAGTTGGAGTGGCTGGAAAGCCAAGCCATGGATTTCTTCATCCAGGAAAGCTCTTGTGAAAGGGTTTCTCAACGCCCTGGCCCAGGGCCAGGCTGCCCTGAGAGCCACAGGGCTGAGCAGGGAGGAGGAACGAGGGTGTTCTTCGAAAGAGCTGCGCTCTGGGGCTCCAGGAAGGGGCTGGAGCAGGGCCAGGAGATCAGGGAGACGAGAGGGAAAAGGGGGAAGATAAACTGTGGGAGCTGCCTGGGCTGCGAGCCGGGGCTGGGGCAGGATTGGTGCTGGGGAGGGGCTGGGGAGCCCTGGCTGGAGCTGCTCCACTGGCTGGGAAGATGCTCCATGAGGCTGGAAAAGGGAGATTTCCCCCCAAGGGTGAGGAGAAGGTCCTGTTAACCCTTCAGTGCCCACCATCTCCCACCACCCTCAGTGGGGCCAGCAGGGTGAGGGACACTCCTGTCAGGGGCCAAGGCAGCTGAGTGGCCACAGCAGCTGCAAATGTCCATTAGATCCCTCATTTTTGGGCTGTCCTGGCTGGGAATTCCCAGGCCAGAAAGGCTACACAGGAAAGTGTTGTGGGTTTTGTAGCAAAAGTCACCCCCTCAGGCTCAGATCCCCTTCCCTGGATCTGCTGCTCCCGGGTGAGCTAAGGGACCCCGAGGTGGGCTGTGCCCTACCAGGGAGCACTGCAGAAAAGAGGTTAAAAATCCCAAACAAACAACCCCCCAGGGCACATCCAGGTGGCCTCCCCTGCCCCCTCAGCACAGCTCAGATGTGCCGGTGGGATGAGATGGGATTTGTGCCTCACACAGGGACAGAAGCTGCAGACCTGGGGCATTACCTGCCCCTCAGACCCTTTTGGGGGGCCAGGGCAGTGCAGGGGGTGTCACCCCTCCTAAGCTGGGCTTTGTGGCTCTCCCTGGGCAGCTCATCGAGCTCACCCGGCCCGTGGACGCCCACCTGGAGCACGTGGAATTCCAGGCTCTGCTCCAGCGGCTCAGCCCCCCCCTCATCCTGCACATCTTCGCCTCGGCCGTGCTGGAGAGGAGGCTTATCTTCCTGGCACAGGAGCTCAGGTGAGCCCTGGAGTTTAAAAAAAAAACTACCAAACCCTCCTGGAAGGAGCTCGGGGTGGGATGTTCCCGCCCAGCATTGACATCCCTTCTCCTCCCTGGATGAGCTGGGCTGGTCACAACCTGGTGCCAACCTTGCCCAGGTGGTGGGTGTGGCCCCTGGGTGGGCCTTTCATCCAGAGCCGGACCTGCCCATCCCCGTGGGGCTCTTCCCACTCGGAACACGCCGTGACCCCCTGTCCTTGTCCCCAGCGTCCTGTCCCAGTGTATCCACGCGGTGGCTGCTCTGCTGTACCCCTTCACCTGGGCACACACCTACATCCCCGTGGTCCCCGAGTGCCTGCTGGACACCGTCTGCTGCCCCACGCCCTTCATGGTGGGCATCCAGCTGCGGCACCTGGAGCGGGTCCTGGAGCAGCCCATGGAGGAGGTACCTCAGCCCTGGGAGGGGATGGGGCCATCCATGAGTCTGTGACCCTGCCTTGGGCTGGCCCCGGGGCTGGAGGCTCTGGCTGGGCCCCTTTCCCAGCCAGGGGGGCTGGAAATTGGGAAATCATACCAGGGAAATTGGGGTGTCCTCCTTGTCCCCTCCTGTTGGCACCGGGGGCAACACCCCCACATACCCCTGGGTGCTGCTGGGCACCTGCCTGGGGCTCAGGAGGGCTCAAGGATCATCCCAAGGGCTCAGGGAGTGGCTCTTGGGATCATCCCAAGCTGGAGGAGGCAGAGGAGGGGATGAGGCCCCAAAGCTGCAGCAAACACCGGCCCTGGGGGCTGCCCTGGACCCCCTGCCCAGGCCCCCCCCCGGCACAGAGGGGCTGATCCCTCCCCTCCACCATCCTGCACACGCACCAGGCTCACCTCAAAGCAGGAGAAGGACAGTGGGTGCCTCAGGAGGGCTAAACCTGCTCCCTCCCCGCTCTCTTGCAGGCCCTGATGGTGGATCTGTGCCAAGGGAAGATCATCCGGGCGGTAGGAACCCCTGTTGGACACCTGACAGCTTCCCCCTTCTTAAATGGCTTCCCACTGCCAGGGGGCAGATGGGGTACTGGAATTCTGCCCTGGGAGGGTGGGGAGGGGCTGGGATGGAATTCCCAGAGAAGCTGTGGCTGCCCCGGTCCTGGAAGTGCCCAAGGCCAGGTGGGAGACACCTGGGATAGTGGGAGGTGTCCCTGCCCAGGACAGGGGTGGGGCTGGAAGGGCTTTGAGGTCCCTCCAACCCAACCCATCCTGGGATTCTGTGGCTCTGTGATTTTGGGGGCAAAGCCACCTCAGTGTCCCCCACCAGGTGAATGTCCCATGAGGGAACATCTCTAGCCACTGCTTGTTGGGAGCTGGAGCAGGAGGGTCCATCCCAGCCCCAGCATCACCACGGGACCTTGCTGTGATAATTAACTAATTAATTAATGAGCTTCCAAAGCCCCACTTGATGGGCTGTGCCAACCCACAGCCACCTGTGGGTCTGTGGGTATGGGGATCCCAGCAGTGCCAGGCCCTCCATGGCTCCCTCTCCTTCCAGGTGGGTGATGAGGAGCAGATCCTGCCCGTGAAGCTGCAGAACGAGATGCTGATGGCTCTGACCAAGCACAACTACAACAACAACGTGCTCAGTAAGGATGTGTCTGTATTCCCAAAACGAGTCTGGTGTTTGCTCACTGGCAGGGGGGGCTTGGAGCAAGTAATGATGCAGGCACAGAGCAGGTTAAAATATCACCCAGTTATAGGATAAGCCATTAGAGAGTGCCCAAAGGAGGCAACGAAGATGGGGAAGGGCCTCGAGGGGCTGAGGGCACTTGGTGTGTTCAGCTGGAGCAGAGGAGACTGAGGGGAGAGCTCCCTGCAGTTCCAACTGCCTGGGCAGGGGCAGAGGAGGGGCAGGACTGAGCTCTGCTCTGGGGGGACCAGGGACAGCCCCCAGGGAATGGCTGGAGCTGTGTCAGGGCAGGCTCAGGGTGGATCTCAGGGCAAGGTTCTTCCCCCAGAGGGTGGTTGGCACTGAACAGGCTCCCCAGGGCAGTGGGCACAGCCCCAAGGCTGCCAGAGCTGCAGGAGGGTTTGGATGATCCTCTGGGGCACAGGGGGTGACTCCTGGGGGTGACTCTGTGGTTCTGTGAGGTTGTGCCTCCCTGGGATGGTTTTCCCAGGGCTGTCCCAGGGCTGGAGGGGACACGGAGCCCTCCCTGGCTCAGCTCCCAGAGAGTCCCAGGGCACTTTCAGGCCAGCCCTGCGTGGGTTTTCCTGTTGCTCTGCCCCATCCAGCTGGGAGGAGAACGATCCCATCCCAGCCCCAAAACAACACCCCAAAGGCCGGTTCCCATTTGCACCCCCAGGTCCTGCAGCAGCTCCTGATCCCGGCAGGAGGTCAGGGCTGGGCCCCCTGTGCTGCCTCGGGAGCTGATGTTGGGGGGCCTGGTGGGGGGTGAACCCCAACTGATGATGGAGTTACAGAATCATTTAGGTTGAAAAGCCCTTTCAGGTGGAGTTTGGCACTGGACAGGCTCCCAGGGCAGAGGGCACAGCCCCGGGGCTGCCAGAGCTCGAGAGGAGCCTCCGGGGCACAGGGTGGGACTGTCGGGGATGTCCCGAGCAGGGCTGAGCCTTGGACTGGGTGATCCCGGGGGGTCCCTTCCAGCCCAGATCCCACCCCCCTCCCCGCTGTGTGTGCTCAGAGCTCTCCCTGTGTCCGCAGCCTCCGAGCAGGTGAACGCCCTGGTGTCCGAGGCCTTCGTGCAGTTCTTCGTGCGGCTGGTGGGTCACTACCCCGCACACATCAAGTGGGGCCGGGGCGGCTCCGGCGCCTTCCAGGAACGCTCCTTCTGCAAGGCCCTGAGCTCCAAGAGCTGCCGCAGGTTCCTCAAGAGGTTCGTGAGGACAAACATGTTCTCCCTGTTCATCGAGGAGGCAGAGAGGAGCAGGATCCCCCCCGAAGGTAACGGCCCCTTCCACCCCCTGCCCCGGCCGGCTGAGGAGGCCTCGGGACAGAGCTGGCCCTGGCCAGCCAGGGGGACACGGGGACACTGAGGGGGTGCTGGGGGGACACTGAGGGGA